TTAGACTGGTTTGACCAGCTACATTTAGCTGACGTTCCTTTAAGCACCGTATGCCATCTGGTGAAACAACCTCATGAACCTGAAACATATTCGAAAGAACTACTGACGGAGTTTTCAACCAGCGAACACCATACGGCCGGCGAAGATACAGTTATCGCCTCCCTGATGACAGAGGACTACGCGCAGTGCTACCTGACAACTGCTATTCGTGCTTTGCCAGTCTCAGCAGCTGAAATACAATCTGCATCCAAGAACGACTCCATCATAAAGAGAGCGATGAAATACGTCACAAATGGCTGGCCGCCGACTGGACTCGATGGTGACTTGAAACAGCTTTACCATCGTCGGGACTCATTATGCGTCGTAAACGAATGCTTGATGTTTGGAGATAGAGTAGTGGTACCAGAATCCCTAAGATCAAAGGTGCTAAAGCAATTCCACACTGGTCATCCTGGTATAAAGCGAATGAAATCCATCGCCAGAAGCTATGCTTATTGGCCCCTCATGGACCAACATATCGTGGATTTAGTAAGCAAGTGCACACAATGTCAGCAAGCAGCTAAGTGTAACGCGAAAATACTACCAGTCCCATGGCCACAGCCTGAGTATCCCTGGTCCAGGATACATGTCTATTTCGCAGGCCCAATTAACGGAATCACCTATCTAGTTGTTGTCGACGCCTTTTCGAAATGGCCTGAAATCAACCCTATCATACCGCCAACGACAACTAAAACAATACAGATCCTCACAGAAATTTTCTCTCGAAATGGTATACCAGATGCTATTGTGTCTGACAACGGGTCACAGTTCACCTCCAGCCAATTTCAGTCATTCTGTCAACGACTAGCCATAAAGCACTTACGCTCGCCACCATACCACCCGCAGTCGAATGGGCAAGCAGAAAGGTTTGTGGATACGTTTAAGAGAGCCTTGGCTAAAACAAAGGGGGAGGGGACGCCAGCAGACGCGTTGCAAAATTTCTTATACGTGTATCGAACAACACCAAATGAAACGTTGCCGGAGCGAAAGTCCCCAGCCGAGATCCTAATGGGAAGAAGACTGAAGACAATCCACAGCCTGATGCATCCAAGGAATGCACCGACACCAGTACGGACAAAGTTTGAAAAGCAATCCACGTACGAAGTGGGATGTCCGGTGTTTGCCCGTGATTACAGACCGACCCATAGTCCATGGACAGAAGCGCGAGTGGTCAAAAGAGTTGGCCGAGTCATGTACGAAGTTGAGGTAGGTAGTGACAGGTGGCAACGCCATCGGAACCAGTTACGCAAACGGTTAGCCCCAGACCACCCATCAACAGAATCAAATATTCCTCTTGACATTCTGCTAGACACATTCAACTTACCGGCAACCCCACCACAAGAAAAACCTCAACAACAAACTGAAACACGTCCAAGACGGTGGCCTATCCGAGAACGGCGAGCAACAATCAGGATGCAGGTTGACCCCAAGAAAGCCCGCTATTAAAAAGGGGAGGAGTGTTGGGGACGATAGATCCCCAAACTCATATTTTAAAATTTATCTTATCGATCATCTTATTGATTAAATGTTAGATATTTTTATTGGGGTCAATTGGTGAACTAATCGATTAAATGTTTGAATAGCAGTCAATGGATGAACTATCGATTAAATGCGCAAATAGGTCAATTAATGAACTCATTGATTAATGTTTAAAAATTTTCTATCGATTGTAAATAATTGTATAAATACGCTTGATTTGTATGCTTGGCCTGCCTGACTTGGTATCTGCTGTTGCTTGTAGAATATACTTTCTACGCCTTACCAAGACTTCTTGATCGAGTTAGCAGAGTCGGGGACAACGAACCAGAATAGCTATCGAGTCGCTGAATCATTGATCCTTCGTTCGTTCGAGTAAGACGCATCAGTAATCGCATTCAAGCAATAACGAAACATAACATAAACAAATGTCTAGTTGAGTCCCGTCGAGATTTGCAAAAGAGAAGCTAAAATCATTCCGGTTATTTATTTACTTATTCATTTGAACACGTAAATGTTGGCACAAGGGGCACCAGATATATATGCGCCACACAAAACGATGAGAATGGGAAGAGAAAAATAACGTAAGGTGCGTATAAGAAAAAAAAGAGAACAATTACGAAGACAGATTAGTGTATGGTGGCACAATAATGATAATAATAATACTAATAATAATAATAATAATAATAATAATAATAATAACAATGGGGGAAACGAAAAGGTACAACCAGAAAGATTTCTTTCAGTTATAGAAGTTACAACAAATTTTATGAAGAAAGTAAAAGAAAATTACAGCAGTATCGCCACCGGTTTCTATTCTGAGCCATATCTGATAACGTCTCTACCCACTGTGTTGCACCATCTCTCAGACCCCAGCCAGGGAGTTGTGAAGGACAGACAGGAGCCAGCACTTTGCAGATTTCTTTCATACCCCGACATCATGTCATACACTGACCACCTCTACGCTTTTTCCAACCAGTCCCAGAGTCGGCAAATAATGCACGATGTGGAATTCTCTGTGACGACATTCGTAGAACATGTCCAAGCCACCGAAGTCGGTGTTTCAAGATGGTGACACCAATTGCATTATCGTCTCTGTGCCCGAACACACGATGCCGAACCTCTGCATTAATAACATGGTGTTGCCACTGGATGTCAACGATCCTTCGGAGACAATGATGACCAAACACAGAGAGTCGTATAACGTCCTCAACTCGAAGAAGCCATGTTGCACAAGCGTAGAGCAAAACTGCTCTGACCGACGCATTCTAGATGCGACCTGTTACACTCAGACTGACATTACGAAGCACCAAAGATGGTCCAGATTGGCATAAGCCATTCTGGCTTTCACTATACGTGCATTGATCTCATCACTCACGCCAACACCAGCACTCACACAGCTACCCAGATTCACGAACTTCTCGACCACTTCTATCTGCTCACCAACAATGGTGAGTACGGGATTAGAATCCTGCCAGTCTTATAGAAGTACTTTTCACTTCAAAGGTGCAAAGCACATACCGTACCTATGGACACTGATTGCCAACTGAATAAGTACGGATTGCATGGCTTGGGCATTATCGCACAGTAAGATAATATCATCCGCATACTCAAGTTCCAGAAGCCTTTTTCCAGACAACAGATCCACACCGCCATTACTTACATCCATCAGAGCTACTTCCAGAATGTCATCGATGGAAAAGTTGAAGAAGAATGGTGAGATTGGACAACCCTGTCTAACCATACTGCTTGAATGGAACAGTGGAGAAAGGTGGTTGTATGCCCTCACTCTACTTGAGGTGTTTGTATATAGGACCTTTATGGTGTTAATAAACTTCTCAGGCATACCCTTCTTCAATAGACAATCCCAGAGAACAGTCCTGTCTAACAAATCGAAGGCAGTCCTGGTGTCAAAAAACACTACGATTGTTGGCCTGTGATAAGTATGACGGTGTTCTAACATTTGGCGGAGGGTGAATATATGATCAATACATCCTCGACCAGAGCGAAAACCAGCCTGCTCCCCGCGAGTCAATCTTTCTCGGTTTTTGAACAACCTATGAAGTATGACGGGAGCCAACGGTTTGGACGCAATCGAAAGTAGACTTATCCCCCGATAGTTGCTATAGAGAGAACCTGAACCCTTTTTAAAGATAGGGACAACTATTGACTCATTCCATGATGTTGGAACACTATCTAGCTCCCAGACCTTTGTAAACAACGTTGTCAGTTCCTTAACCAGAAAGTCAATGGATGATGATAGTGATTGGCATCCCGCCAACCCCGCAGATTGTTTCGCTCACACCAGACTTCTTGCTGCAAGTGGCTCGGATGAGTTGAAAGAGCTTCCAGTAGTTACCAGATGCAGCTGCTGCTTCCAGCTCATTAGCACGCTCCGACCACTAGGCTTCTCGGCCCTTACACAAGCTTTGCCAGGTTTCATTACGTAACAGCCTTCGTTTGTGGTCAAACTCACGGTCACCCCGAGTAGACCGACGGGCTCCGATGAGTTGTAGGGAGTCTGAAGAAACCCAGTGCTTATAAGCGGGACGTTCCACGAAGCCGCGAGCGGATTAACTCGCCATTTTCATGGCGTCATGCAGTTGCAACCAATGCTCATCTATACTTTTCAGTGGGATGGTGGCTAGCCTAGAAGCTAGCTCGGTTCGATGCTTACTTGCAACAGATGTTGCACGGAAGATCAGATTTGAACATTTGGTTGTTTAACCCGTTGTCCCCGTCGATTCTCTCATTTTCCCTGGTTCGCTGTACATCTAGGACATAGGTCGCAGATGAATCCACTGAATTTTGGGAGGAAAGAAATTCATTAGCACGTAATCTCTGTGTAACACTCGCTTTTAACTCAACCATATATGCGTTTGAAGAGATTCAATTTGGCTCAAGAAATATCTTCTCACCAAACTAACATTACGTTTAATCATACACCGACGAAGGGATTTACAACACTGCCTAAAAAACCATGTATAACAATGTAATCACGAACAAAATCCAACAGTTTTCGCTTCACTGAATTTCGCACGATACTTCGCGTACTCGGTGAATCCCTTCAGTACAACTGGGTGTTCACTAGATTACAGCAATATTAAAATCAGACAATAAAGTTCCTTGCTATGGAATATTCCATGGGGACTTCTGGATCGCTTAAGTTCAATTAGTTCACACACCACTCTCAGATTGTCTCGTGAAATAATCCAAATCATCAAACCGTTGATTTCAGTTTCCATCTCAAATGTTGTCTAGCTTCGACTTATCAAAACACTAAAGCTCAATAATTAGTTATACTTGAAATTGGATCGGTGAGATTCTTGCAATACGACAAACATCTACACTCAGGTATCTCACTGTACGATTGTAACTGAAGTGGATTTTGTTTTTACGTACATGGAGAAATGAAATATACATTAAAATATATGAAGATTCACTTATTTATTTTCAGGACAGCATTTGTTTGTGGACTAATTTTAGGTCACCATAATAATGTCAAACTCAAAAATCCAACATATAAATTGTTTATTCAAACGAAATCACTTTCAAATATTTCATATTTGCATACAATAGAATGAAACATGATAATTAATTCATGAATTGTATGGTTGATACATATGAATAAACTGTCAGCTCATTGAAACAATTTGCAGATATCTAACCAACCACAACATAACAACAGTTGATATTGGGTAATTAATTAATCAAACCGGAAGTAAATTTTCCATTATATAAACGAAGCTGTGCACGGGCAGAATATGAAGTAACTCGTAAACTAAACAGCAGTTATTATCAACCATGTCTTCTCATGGAGGTAAGTGAACTATACCTTTTTAAAATTACGCCTTAACTCATACTATTGTAATGATTATGCTGAGTTACTTAAGTAGTAATAAAGTTTGTTAGTATACTGAGTATAATTGTCTAACAGTGTAGTGTAAAACCGCGGTATTGGGAAATATAGAATGGATTTCCAGTGGTCGTAACTGGTAGAGATTTAGCACGTTAGTAGTCGAAATATCTGGATCGAGTATCAACGACATGTCATACCATTGAATGAGGTTGAAGTAGTATTATACATGTGGATGATTTGGTTGTATCTATTTAATCATCAAAACCTACTAGCACATGCAAAACCAACAGTTTGCTGTTGTTTATACCTGGTAAATAAGTACTGTTGCAAAGTCTTCATCACGTTAAATGCACTCATTATATTCAACAATTTCATCTAACATTTGACTTTGCAGTAAACTATATCTGTTTCTTTCACAAATTTATTCAACCAAAAACAACTATTTTTATGTTATTAAGAAAACGGGTGAATTATTGATCACAGATGGAATCCATAAGCAATGGTGGCTCATTTCAGAGCCAAACATTGACTTAACAACATTCAATGTAGTTTTAAGTCCAAATCTTATTCTATGTCAAAATAATACGTAATTACATAACAGGTTTGGTTCATCACATATCACATAAGCTTTCTTGACACTGACCACTTTGATTGTCATAAACTTGCCTCTCCAGACACAAAAACTCTTCACACGGTTTCAGACAAACGCATTTATGCAGAAGTATCTTCATTGACAGGAGTCACTGCACTAACCACTAGTTTCACTCATTACTATGGCTAACAACGAAGATGGGTTTTACTTATCACGTCATATTTCACATGATAAGTGCTTGTGAAGATTTCGTGTCGATATTCAGAGGTGGATAGTGCACACTTTTGTATTCTCCTGAAGAGGGATATATGCACCTGACAAATTGTTGACATTTCCGTTGGAATATAATTTTACCAACCATTACTTCAAACGCCTGACATTTTAACCGAGAAAATCTGTAGTATGAATTCCGTTTTACAAAGCTCGAATCTACATTGCCCAGAGATAAACTCCTTCGATAATTCAACGATGCCCTTCAAAACATTCGAGGTGTGCTATTTCTGAGATGCAAATACACTTCCCAGTGAATTCTAATAAAGCACTAGTTCTACACGCACGACTTTCAGCTAATCACCTCCATTATACGATACGTAATGTTTGTAAGTTAACTAAAGGAATTGATCCCCTAATACACAGTATATGATAGTAACTAAGCAAAAGATTTCGACAGTTATTATTTATCGAAGTGGTGAGAGTCATTTGACAAGCCTACATCTTCTGCACACCGAAATTGTATTATCCATGTGCAGTCACCACCTATGGTTCCTCATGGATGAACTGAACTCTTTAACCATTTGATTGCTAAACTAATTCATCTAAACAACTCATCGGATTCTGCAGTTCAGTATGTTTTAGACACATCTGCTCACCTTACTAAACTAGCTAAGAGCTTACGGTCAAAGTTCCATTTATTGTGTCACCACTCATGAAAGATGCCTCTTTCATACACTCGATATCCAGTCTAGTACTAGTCTCACACTCACCCACCTCCGGGTATAGCCAAATAAACTATTCGTCCTTCATACTGCCGTCTTTGGATCTATTAACCAAACGTGTGGTTAACGTACATCATTTGAGTACAAAGTTCAGAACACTTGTACCAGCATCACCCAGTTCTGAAGTATACAGTTATCTTCATTGACCTCTAGTGTTGTCTAGAATGAACCACAAAATGTGCGTTGGATATTTGCAAGCAGTCACCACATTCCAAATTGCTTTACAAGAATAGTGGGCAGAAACCAACTAACAATTAGAATGCTAGCAATGCCTAGTGATCACCATGTCTACTACTGTTCCACTGGAGCGTCATATATTCAGCTCATGTGTTAAACAATCATATCAAAACTTATAGGTGTCCCTCTTGTAAACCACATAGTTTAAGTTCACACATTACACAAAGCCTAATTATTTGACGTCTATAAATAATGACTTCACATTATCTTAGTATAAAATGCTTTCAACAGATTATATTCACAATCAATGTCAGTGGTTAATTTCTTGACAACACGAACCATTAATGTACCTAGGCATGACTATCAATATGACATGACAAACAATCTTGACTGTTGTTTAAGGTTTCAGGTTTATGTGTGAGTTTGGGTTAACGTTTATTTCCGTTCGTGCGTTTTACTAAATTTGTGCTTCAAGCATAATGCAGTGACGTACGAACATTAGTAAAAATAATTATTCAAAAATAAAATATTTATTACCAAATGAGTATGCACTAAGCCATGACTGATCTTTAATTATAAAGGGCCGGTTTTCTGTTTTTAACTCACACCCAAAAAATCAAATGGATGGCTCATCCACACAGTAGACTTGATTAATTGGATTTCTTCATATTCTTCACTTCAGCTGAACATCATCACGAACATCATGAAGAAGCCGGTCATGGTCATGACAACAAAGATCATTGCAAATCGTCTGAACACTGTGTGAAAGACTGCCACGACAAAGAGGGTGCTGGTCATGGATCTCATGACAAGCCACAACATTGTGGAACTGGTTGTCATAAACCAGGATCTGGAAAAGATCATGGTGGTCACTAAACACACGTATCAGAAATTCCTAGATAGTTCATAAACTTATTTCTTAAAAATAACTAACACAAAGTAACTGCAGACATTTTATTGACTATTGAATTTTAAATATACATTTTTAATGCCTGTACACTTTTTGCTTTTATGTAACGTTAATTATTCTGTCTAATCCACTGTTTTAATAAAGTTATACTCACATTAAGTAGAATCTTCCGTAGTAATAATTCTCTCTTGAAGAATGTCAAATCGATTATAGTCGTCACACAGTTGGTGTTACATCCAGTCGAATTTTCCGATCTGGGTGAGTCAGAAAAATTGACTTCAAACGCATACGGTACACATCTTGAGTGAATGACTATTACAACGAGGTCTGTACATGTTGTCCACTTTATTGTGAGCTGCATGTTCAATATTATTTCACTGTCTCAATGGTTAAACTTTTAAGTACAAAAACTGTGATGAGTAGATGCAGTAGTACCGAATTCGGTAATATGAACTGGTAATTCCTAGAACTGTCCAATACGTAATCTAGTGATCACAAATCCACCAGCACTCAAGTAATAGAGAATACAGTGAGCAGAATTGAAGGTATAACCTCGTAATTTCAAACAGACGCGTAACGATTTACAAAACATTTATTACTTAGCACGAACACCACAGAATACATTAACGTATGGTTTCCCACACCAACCAGTCTCTTCGTTTCTGTCCTCCAAATAAAATCATACACTTTCAACAAGCTATAAAAATGAGAATCCACCAAAAGTAGCTTCAAATTATATATACATGTCTGAGGTAGGAGAGCAGCCTCGAAGTAGTCACATCGAAATGTCACAATTCTCTGTTATTTTCAGTTTTGTGGGCTTACGTAAAACAATCGACAATCTGTAACGTTTGACAATAAGCCTTAAGATTAATTGCAATGGCGAGCATGTTGTTATTTTCCTTCAAATCTGTATCCTACTCCATACTTTGCTTTGCTTCCTAGTAATTTCTTAACATTGCTCCACCTCCTTACTATTCGTCATGATGATTTTGTCCAATACGTTTTAGCTTTGTATGTCTACTCTCACAGCCCTAATGCGAAGTGTAATGATCACTGCATAATTGAAGTTCAGTGATGATATTTATTGTTCACTAACGAATAATCACCATTAAAAAATAATGTGGCACCCCTTCATATGACTGAATCCGACACTTTCAGGAATACATAGTTTTTGTTTGCTAGATTGTAGAATGAATATTAAGGTATTGCAGAATGACCGAAAAGTACAGTTACATTGGCAGCTGATCAAAAGATTTCTAGTCTTAAAGTGAAATCAATGTGGAAAATGTTCGTTGAAATTGTGTTGAATGATTACATTTGCAATTACAACGATGATACGCAATCGATTTACAACTCATAAGGAGTTATCTAATTAGAAAGGGAAATTACAGAATCGACTATCGCTTTCCCGTTCCCAGTCGGAAATTTTCACAGGTTCTCAATCAAACAGTCAATAGAATAAATCCACTGGGGAGTTCTATAGAACGAATATGTGGCTAATAAATACCCATACAGTTATCAACAAAGATTGTATTAGCCTATTTCTGGACAACTGAAAGACATACAAGATTTATCAAATCAAAAACATTCTACCTAGTGTAAAGTGAAAAAAATATCCATCACGGGTAGGAAGCATAGAGGAGAACCAACACGTTCGAGTGTAAACCAACAAGAAAACATGGCAATTGATGTATTTTTTTCCTCAATTGTAAAGCGCAATTAATTGGAATGCTGGATTCAGTTATTCAGTCATTTGAGCCATGAATGTAGTATCCATATAATCTGATGATTTGAGATACGTAGGTTTGAGATATGACAATGAAGTACATTTATTTGCAAGGTAAAAACCTGGATAAGCCAATCAAATATGTGCGAATGGTATAAGTCCACATCGGTAAACGTAAATCAGCAGTTCATGTAGCCCCAAACTCTGTCATCCATTTCTCATACCGTTCAACATCACTGGCTGAAACAGATCTGCACACACGACCGACTGCTTCTTCGAAATCAGCCATTCGTGTCGGCTGATTAAGTGTAGCAGTATTAAGACCTTTAATTTGCTCTACTGAGAGTCCTTCTATAGCTCGTCGCATAGACATCATTGAAGCATCTCTAGGATAATCAAAAATATATCACTATAAAATCGGGCGGGATATTATGTGAGTAGGAAAATATTACTTATACATTAACTTGAAAATTACAAACTTCTAACAACGACGAGTGAGAATTAATAAAACGAATTTGAATTTTAAAAGGACAAGAACTAGTGACTCTGAATTACCAGTTAGTGGAAAAAACGGTCAGGTGCAACGAGCAGAACTAAGTTATAGTTCATTTGTTTGTGATGACAACTGAGGTAGGTTATGACATGCACAAACGCGTGTTCCCTCTATTGTAAAACTACACTATAGCAGTGATTGATAACAGACAAAAACTTTCAGTTCGAAGCTTTTCATTGATTCCTACTCACAATACACTTGATATGTTAACTTGGAAAACAGTAAGTTTCTCAATCAGTGTTAGTGTTGAGTAGACAACATAGTAACTATATTCAGGCTCATGGAATAGGCTGTGAACGACCCCATCTATTCTTTAAAATATGATAGACGGAACCAACGCATACCATGAGTTCACAGTTCAAAGTTATGTGTGACGAAAGTACCTAGTTGTACATAGGAAGTAACTGAAGAACTCATCAAATCCTCCACATAATAGATTGAGGCCGATATCAGTACCGTACTCTATCTCCAGTCTTCAGTCCAACAAACTAAACAACACAGAAGACAAGGTTCTAATACCGCATTCCAGGCACCCAGAATTAGAAGTGCAAACTTTCACCTTTTTTGACAATAGTCACAAAATGTTTTTGTTTGAAGGTAACATAGATAGATAACATAGAAACGGAGACTGGAATTAAAAGTCAACGAAATGCACGAAATTTATTGTCTAACGATTTTCAGATTCATGAATCTTGATGCAACGCTTTTAGAAGACTTTGTTTATCCACATATGTTTATTTGTCTCGAAGATACTTTGCCTCACGGACTGAAGTCAAGTTGAGAAACAAGGGGTATTTCTTTTATCTTAGTTTGAAACGCGCACCAATTATGCTTTATGCGATCGAACCTAGAAACTTCACGTCCGATGGTAAAAGTGATATCATTCAGCCGCGAACTCGGCATCTAATAAAAATCCCTCATAACTTCTATGGAATAACAATATAGTGTAATCACTGTTGCAAACATTAAAGATAGGTTGCTGCTTTTCTTTTAGCTCTGTCTGAGAATCTTGTTTTCGAACCTTCAAAAAATGCCTCTATAAAAAAACCATGTTCTCAAGAGTAAGTTGCTCAGAGTTTTAGCGAGAAATCGTGAGCTAAGGAGTCAACCAAGTAGAAAGTATCGTATCCGAGAACGGTTTCTCGAAACCGCAAAACGATTCAAGATGAAAATGATAACCACATTATTCCAAACCAATAAATCAATAGCACTGTATTCACTGTGAAAATTGAAACCGTTAGGAACGATCCTGTGTTGATGCTGAAGATATATAGCTCAAAGGAATGCTTTTGGTTTTTGTTTCGATGGTATGTAATGCTGATGAATTTTAAACGACAGCAAAACGACAGTATATCTCTATTTCATTAATGAGTTTTGTTATTTGGTTTCATTTGTTACAAGATTTAACCTTCTCAGTTCGGAATGTGGAAAACGTTTGGAGTGTGTACTGTTGAGTTTCAAGCTAAGACAAATTAAAATATGACCATTCCCCTTCACTTTATAGCTAAAGATAACAAAATAACTTAAAATTAAACCATACCCCTATAGTCAATTATAAATTATTGGTGATATTATCTTTGAAATTCAGAAGTAACAAATAAACAAAAATTGTAACTATTTATATACCTGCATACATTCGTTATGTCTGCACCGGAATAACCATCTAATTGTTCAGCTATACTGTCTAAATCAACATCTTCTGCTAAAGGAACGTCTTTCAAGTTGATTTGCAACAGAGTTTTGCGTGCAGTCACTAAGGTAAATCAAAATCAAGACGACATAGATTAGGAAGAATCTCAACAAATCATTGAGTCAATGAGATTTATTTTTATGAATTCTGTTGAATAAACAAAACATAGCAGTTCAAAAGTATAAAATCATTTAAATAACTAATGTACGATTAGATGATTCTCGTCATTTCTCCTATTCAACAAATGTCAATTAAATAACGTGGTTCACTTCAAGAAACTAAACGTTGTAGTCTCTTAACCAATTACAACTTTACGCGGTGATAGTCAGTACCATTCAATAATAAATGGGATGTGGAAAACCGAAATGAACTTCAGTGATTTAAGTGTTTAATACACTTTCCATGGTACAAGTGTGATATCTACCATTAGAAAACACATATAAGGTCGTAGTTATCTAGGCTTTTTGACGTATCTGACCACTTTTGTCATGCATTACTTAATAATAACAACTTTATACATACAGGATTTATGATCATTAAGACGTCTATTCTGTCAGTAATTCTGTACTAGAAAACGGTATCAACTGGAATCATGTATTTTTTATACATCTTATGCCTGATACTATTACCAACTCCATCAAAAATATTCATATTAACTCGAATTATTTGTTACCACTTTATTTTTACTCACTTTACAATGCTCGTAAATTTATTTATTTACTTGAACGCAGAAATATTGGTACACGGGGATATCAAATACATACGCGACACATAATATCAATGAGGTTAGTAGAAGTTATCATTGATTTGTGTGAGGGTTATTATACTGCCCAGGCGCCCAGACCGAAGCAGGTAATTTTTCTTAGGGAGCCCCACCCGGAGCCTTCGACCTAAAGGTCTGATCCACAAGGCAGTGGAGCAATGTCAGGAGATGCAATCCCATGGTAGCTGCTGACAAATATTTGGTTCATACGCCATTTGTTCTCTCAGGATGTTGGAGCCCATTTACACCATTGGTTTGGAACCAGGGTTTTCTAAGTCCGTTAGGTGGGTCTTACATATCCACCAAGCTTGTTAAAGTGCCGGACATTCGGTTTTCGTCCTCTAAAATTCGTAAACAACAGTAATGCCGCGAGAAAGTAGTGAGTAGGACTTCCCTGGTAGTGGCTGTATAAGCATGATCGTGTAAGAGCATATCGAGAGGGAGAGAGAACTCTCCCCACCCTCAACTGTACCAGAGCATTTGGAAGATAACCATTTATGACAATATATTTTTACTATTATGGTTAGTATAACTATTAATCAAACAGTTTGTAAAATACTTAGTCAATAGATTTACTGAAAAAGTAACAAACACAGAAACGAACTGTATGTCAATTTTAAAGTCATGTATTCTAATTTAGCAGTTGATATAGATACCATTAATTCGTAGAAAGTCCTCATTGCTTATTGAGTAGATAGCAACATGTTCAGGATGAGATTAGCAGTTCACGAGTTAGACTTTTTAATGGATCAAGTATAACTGTTGAATTAAATCAGATTGATCTAAAACACCTGTACAATGAACCTTGGTTTTCAATAGCTTTGTGGTTGATGATGAAGGCAATTCCCAAGTATATGTAGATGTTAAGTTTAAGTCTTTATGATCAAGATTACATACACAAACTTTTACTTTATATAACTTTATAGAACAGAACTATTAGAATGACTACTATTTTCAGATTTGTTGACATGTAATTATCGAACATTTAAAACTGTACATTCCACCTTAGGGTATGGCATCCCAATGTCTTTGCCAAGATATTTTAAAAAATGGGATTTACCAAAGGTTGAGCCTTTTCAAAATGTCACATAATACACTTGAAATATACCTGTGTATAACATTTGTTTGCTTTCCCATTTATATCGATTCCAATAAGACTAGCTTTTAGAAAGTATCTATCACTTGGAAACATTTGAAAATGACAAGGTATATATTAATTTAGCGCGAACATCATACTGTTAGAACAGATTTATTGTAAGATGATCACAATTCATAGGACAATATTCAGTTGATAAAAATATAAACTGTCAGAACATTAGATAACATGTCAAAGTCTAGAAGATAGGTAGAATGGGAAAAGTGAATATAGATAGAAATAAATGCAATCTAATGTAACAGACTCTAAACAGAGCCTGGCCAAGTTGTAAAGAATGGTGAAAATGAATTACCCGCGAAATTCCACATAAATTCGAAAAACCTAATATCGTAAGGCAAATACTTCACACAAATATCATACCATTTGGAAGTGGTATGTACACTCGTTTCTCAAGACGTCTACGCAAAGCTTCGTCAATGTCCCAAGGGAAATTCGTAGCAGCAAGAACCATAACAGATTTTGTAGGATCCTCTTCTTGTCCTGTAGCTCCTGTTACTCCTTGAGAAGTAAAGATAACTTTAAGTACAGGAAATACTTAAAGTAATACAACAAATATATGCCCATTTATATAAGTATCATAAGAAATGAGATTAAGCGCCTGAAGACAACAAAATTGGTTAAGATGAAATTTTTAACTTCTATATGGGTTCAAAGCTTAGTGATTAAAATTTAAAAGCGATAGCTTCGATGAATGACAACCATCTACTAACACTAAGATCGCTAAATTTATCTCGACTATCTCAGCGTCGATACATTAATTTCTAAGTAGTCGTAAGATATTCTATATATGATTTTAGAATGCAATTACTGTTATAATTGCCATTAGTGTTGAAGAACAAATATTGCAGTGCTCCACACTTCGATTTCAACAAACACTGGTGTTAACGAGATGAAGATTGGACTGAAGCATGTTCCGCGCAGGACTATATCGGTGCACGCTATTGTCTATTTCTTAAGCAATCAGCGATGGTGAATACTCTAAAATCTTCTTGTGTGAAAATCACAAATATTCTAATGTTTTTTATTGTGATTCCTATTTTCATCCAACATTTTCATTTGGAGTATAATTACGTTCCTGTTCAACCATGTTCTGATTTGGAGACTTGTCGACTGAAATAATGTCCGAGAATACTAAGCAATAGCAGCAGCTTAGTCGTAATAGGAGTTGTAACAACTGGTATTCAATATTAAACATTATTGATAATATAAAATAATCCTAATTTATAAGGGAATATTCGCTATATAAAGTAATAGACTTATACTAAGATAAGCATTATGTCAGACTAGTGACCTTATGATCCCACGAACTATATATAGTACACGAAAACGTTAGTTGATACCAAAGAGAGTTGTGTTTTGGATCGTTTATTATGTTAACTTACATTTACACATTAAGTGAAAAAATAAACGTAAATCATTTAAATAAAAGTCTTTTGGATTCACAACAAACACAAAAGATCACATAAGGATCCTGTTTCAGTCGTTATCGGTTACTCCCCACTTCAGATTTTAGGAAATAAGTTCAGTATACTTTCCACATATTTAGTTATTATTGATTGCATAATACAAGAGTTTTAACTAAGTACCGTGAATTCGGACAAAACGTAAACGTCTGCTAAAATATTTGTACGTGGTTTAATCTTTTTAATAGCATAACTTTAAAAGAAGCTCTTCGACATTTAAGTTATTCTGCATACGAGCTAAGAAGCATGGGGCAACTCGAAATAAAAAATGATGGAATTTGGACAAAAGCAAATTAAGTGCATACGCCAACGTAATCAAGACGTGTAAATTGAGTCCAGAAAATATAACCAACCATCATATTCATTATTTACAAACTACTAGTTATTTGAAAGGGTTAAACACAAATTTAAATCCTTTGAGAATTAGAAAAAAAACTTAGAAGATTTTCCTGTCAATCAAATCAAAGCATACCATCCATTTGCACTAAAAGTTCAGATTTAACACGCCGAGAACTTTCATGTTCTGATTCACCACCACGTCGAGAACAGATTGAATCGATTTCATCCATGAATATTGTGCTTGGTGCGTAGAAACGTGCCATGTCAAATAAAAGACGGACTAATTTTTCTGATTCACCTCTCCATTTACTTGTTAGACTAGAACTGGAAACATTGAAAAATGTGGTGCCACATTCTGTTGCAACAGCTTTAGCTAATAATGTTTTGCCCGTACCAGGCGGACCAACCATTAATACCCCCTAAAAGGGAATGAGAAACGAAAATACAAACATTAAGATGCAGAAATTCAATAAAACAATAGTTTACGTTAAAGATAAAGATAAAAGTCAATTTAAATGATGCCGCTCATTAATAACATAAATCAAATCACCACTTGCAAGTTATTACATTATATTCCATTATGATTCGCATAGTCAACTTTGGACTATGCTATATATGTGGGGGTGGTGATGTATTAGAAAACACACCAAACAACTTACTTTCCATGGTCTACGTATTCCCTTAAAGAAACCCGGAATAACCATTGGGAGAACTACAGCTTCTTGAAGTAAACGTTTTGCATCATCTAATGCAGCTATATCATCCCATCGAACATTTGGATTACGTTGAACAATATCGCGTTCTAGTGTTTCCACAAGATCTTTGTCGTATCCACTAGCATCAAATTTCTCTTCATTGTTATTGTTAGCAGTGGTAGTAGCATCCCCAGTAGGTTGAGATCCAGATTTGACACGACGATTATTTGCTAAATAAAGTCAATAAAATAAACTATAAATAGCCCAAAGGCAAGATTTGTTTGAGATAAATGGCTACTTTCTATCACCCAGTTGAATAGGTTGTCAAACGATGAGGAAAACTTAGTACAAAACTTAAACAATAACTATAAATAAGCGTTTAGACATAATAGTGTACACTGAGACATAATGTTTTTATTAGGCTTGAGAAATAAACAAAGGATTTCCCGGTAACCCCAATTGAACATTGTGAATGAAGGTGAAAACTACTTTTTCATATTATTACGAAATGTCTTGGCGATATCCAATTATCCCCTACCTCCAGGGTTTATTCTAGTTTAGATCGAGGTGAAACATAATACGCTTACAAACCAGAGGACGACAATAGTTCGTTAAAATTTTAATTTTTCATAAGATACAATGGTAAAAATGTAGAGGGCGTTATATCTATAATTACTGTATTTGCACTGTTTTCTTATTCCTTATGTTTATTAACGATTTATGGATAGTATTGCTTTAAACCAATACTTTGCTCTTAACAAATTTTTCACCATCACTCTTGGTGTCATAAAACGTGAAGAATAAAAGATTAAATATAAGTACATTTGTTCCACAAACTTGCAACATTATGGTAAAAATGTCGAACTAAAAATCACTATTCAAATGTATATATATAACTCAAAATGGTTTAAAAAACAAGAGAACATGAAATGTGAATAAGAAAGCAGAAACGTTACCAGAGGTTTGAGTGGTACCCTTAGATCGAGGATTCGTCGGACTGGGCCTGACATTGCGACGAAATGATCCCGCAGTATTATTAGATGACTTGGAGCTAACGGATGGAGGAGGGGGAGCTGGAGCATGAGCAACAGGCGGCTTATAGTAAGAGCTAGAAACTGAATTTGGCTGAATATTTGATCCAGCGTTTTGAGAACTATTCCCGTGCCTTCGTTCGAGAGGAGGGGGAGGTGGCCAAACATCTGGGTCTCTAGTTGGCTCTTCAACAGTTGAACGGGAATTATAGCGACTGGCAAAAGCACTCAAACCCGAGTCATCATCAGATATTTTGAAACTAGACAACGTTTGGTTGACGTCTTTAACCAGTTCATATTCATCTGTAAGCTCTTGCCGTACCTACGACAAACAAAAACAGCCAGTAAGAAGTGTATCGACTAAATGAACTATACAGTAAACACTAAACGAATATATAAGGTCTTGTGATCAGGAATAAAGACCTACAGTTGGCTAAAATAAATGTTGCACTGTAGTACTATTATCTCCAGGTGTGAAAAAATGAGATGTTTCAAGGATTGAAACGATCAAGCAACTCAATCCATAATTTCAAGGTAACCCATCTACCAATTGCAGTTGTGTGACGTCATTTACAAGCAATTTCTATGTAACGGATACTGATACGACCTGATGGAACGATGGCTTAACAGTTGAAGCGGCCGAGCAGTATGCCACAAGTCCGAAACCTGCATCACCTGTCTCAGTTTTGGTAACGGGAATATCACTAGCTTTAACAATATACAAAATATTACTTAAACATCGGTAGACAACAAAACTTACAGTTTGCCATTGTTGTTTTCGGTTTGCTTCAGAAATTGAAACAGTGAACTTCTTAAGTTGAGCAAGACCAACAGAATAATACGTTAACGAACTTTCATAGTTTCCAAGCAAAGCCAGTTCTCGTGCTTGCTTTACATTCTCAACTATTTCACTCAAAGACATGATAAAAAAATCGGAAAATCGCGCAGAACTAGTGTCGACAGATAACAAACAAATGGGATGGAAATAAATCCATGACAAAGTAGTCTTTTGTGGAACAAAAGAACTAGAAAATATGGAAGATAAAGAAATCATGTCAAAATTAAGGCATGAAATTATTAAGTGGTTTAATCAAGGGATAATATCACATAAAACAGAAGAACCGAGTACATAAATTAGTACCGACATTCACAGACACAGACTGATCAAGACCCCTTTCAATATATTCGAAGCGCGACTCGCGTGTCGTGGAAAAAGGGAAGGAGCAACACTGAGGTTAGATCTACTTAGGCACTAAGCAAAAGTGGAAAATAGGCTTACGAGGTTTCGCATTTTTTGACAAACGAGTGGGATGTATCTCTTTTGACCAACTAGAGCTTACCTTGGCCTTGTTATCTTATATCTGATTTTCTTTCTACAAACTAATTCTTTATTTCTGTATTGTAACCTTATACACAATCCTTCTTTTATATATTATTATATAGTGAAAAAGAACACCAGTGGGGACAATCAAATGTACTTAACACAAAATTACAGGATTTGTTAATAAAATCTAACAATCATAAAGTAAATGCTGCCAGACCTTCTGTTTACGACTAACATCAAATACTACTTATGTCAATATAAGCAGCACACACCACATAACTACTTCATGAATTCGGTGTTTATCTTGTTGTGCTTATGAAGTGTGGCAACTTGGACCGATGGCTGGTCCTTGTAGCTGACTGACTGATATCTGATTTGTTCGTCGATAAATTATAGTCTTGTCCCATTAATACTCAACTTGTTAGTTATATACGGAGACTTAGGCTAACACATTTTATCTCACCATTGACACTGATTGTAAAGACGACAATTTTTTGCGATAAATTCCGGATTTAGGAAACATGAAAATAACTGCCTAACTGACAACTAAAATTGATATACCACTAAATGGCTTAGAACGTGACTAAACATTAAAATCTTGACCATATGAACTTCGAAAAATTGGACGTTACAAACACTAGAACTTCAATGGCACAACGAAAAGGATTTTTTCTAAACACTTTATAGTACTGAATAGGGGTGAAATAGGAAATATCAAACTTAAATTAACACTGAATAGATATGACAGTATGTGAATATCAATAATGATAGTATATGAAAACATTCCGAATGGCACCTTAGGGTCTTTCTGAGCATACAGTATGGACTGAAAATTTGAAGCCAAGAAAGTTGAAAAGCTTCATTGGGAATCGTCATCCACCTTGGTTGATGGATATTTCAAGGTTACTTGAGCGTTAATTACTTCAGAATCAGTATTTTCACTGTACAAAAATACATACGTGTGCAGAAATTTGTGCATGGATTTGCATTATTACTACCCAAGCTCCCAACTTTGGGGAAATCCCTAATGTCTGAGAAAATTTTGGGGGAATTCCCAAAGTTGAATAACCTTCCCCAAAGTTTGGGGAAAATCACCAAAACATGCGTTGCTCATTATTCCACAATAACATTTCATCACCATTAGATTATTAAACCTTTAAATATTAAACTACAATAAAAAAATATTGATTTTAAAACAATGACTTTTGTTCACGAATCGTCTATCGAATTTAAGGTTTTCTTTTAGTACGTTAAAAAAAGACATGAGACAACGAGTGTAAGTATACTTATATTTTTTGATTATTTACCAGTGCTAATAGTGTCTATGTGCAGAATCTTTTAAAGATCTATTGTTTTATTTTATGGAAGAATGGTCTGAAAAAACTCACTTTAAACACTAGATACTAGGAGCTCAATAACTACAGTTATTCCCATATGTATACATATGGGAATCATGTCTGAATAAAACAGTATGGTAACTGGGATTCCAAATCTCCACCTTAAGATATTTACCACTCGGAGCCTCAGATCTTATAACTTTCTGGTATGAACTTACGGTGAAACTTAACTAATTTGTGTTTCTTTAAGATAACGAAAGAGCTTATTTACACATCCAACCTTGACAAGTTATAATACCCGCTTTGTTAATTCAACAACTGAATCAGATAATTTTCAATGGAATGAGAACAATATACACTTAAAGTCATGAAGCAAAAACACTCGAAAATCAAAAGAGCATAAATTATATGAAGTGGTTGATTATTGCTAACTTTTGCATGTAGGTGACTGTATCATTTGAGTAAGAAAGCTTTGTTTATGTAGGCTTCCTCCCACGAAAATAGTTGTCTTCCTGACGAAATGGCTACTGACAAAAGCATTATTCCGTAGTACTCCTCTTTTTCTCTGTCTTCCAGTTGCTAGGTTTTAATAAACTACCAATTTTTCCGATAACGCACAACACCTGATCAGAATGTCAAAACATCACCCACAACTCTCAACAGTGATAGCTTCAAAAAAACTTTACAGGCATCCCTTAAGAAAACACAGGTACTTGACTAATATTCCATGCACTACAGAATGTGGAAAGGATATCTTTTCCTGACATGGTTGATTCGTTTGTCTTTTATTGCCAGTTATGCACTAGAAACTTTGAGAAGCATTCGACATTGGATGCTGACCATATGCTTTAGTGGACTCATCTAGCTGAAGGCGCTCGGTCAGGCATCCGCACCAGATCACGTGTGGTAACACCGTGCTCGTGGAAGTCGGCTTCTGCGTAGCAAAACCAGGCTTCGATGTTGTCGGGCCAGAAAGGCATCAGTTGAAACGAAGGCGGGGACAAAGTCTTAAGCTTGAGTACTTTAGGTGTCTGTTCAGTCATGATGAAGTATGAAGTACGATAATGAACGAGGGGAAAATATATATATCCAGAAAAACACGAAAAAAAAATCACAATGTTTAAAAAAATAAAAAAATAAGGCAATGATATATAAAAATCCCAAAAAGGAACAGACTCACAGTTGCAATTAGGTGTACCAGATCACGTTGGGCTCACCAATGATGATGTCACAGATATTCAGTGTTTGATAACGCTTCTACCAGTAACACCTTCTAATGTATTTCGTTCCCACCCAGAGAAATCAAAAGACAGAGTCAAGGTGATCGGAAGAGTATATTTGGCGATGACCAATATATCGGAATTCTCTGACCTAATCTGGCTAGCGATTGCGGTTGATGTTAAGCACGGCGTTACCACACGTGATCTGGTGCGGATGCCTGACCGAGCGCCTTCAGCTTGATGAGTCCACTAAAACATATGGTCAGCATCCAATATCGAAAACTTAGTGCTATTTATTTGGGGGATTTATTTACCGCTACAGCTTAGACAGAAAATTTAATTGTCAGTCTACTTTGAGATGGGCCAGATCACAGTTCTCAGGATGGTGACGACTTTACTGTGAGGTCAGGACGCTCTTAGTTGGGCTTCCATACAGTCGAAGTTCTTGGTGTTACTTGTTATGTACATCATACGTCTTAATTAATTAATTGTTTGCTTGCAATGACGAGCATTCTTGTACACATGCACATGAATTTACTTCACATTTATTTGTCCGAAGTCTCGCCAACTATGTAGGGGTGGATCTAAGATATATTTGGTAGGCTATCGATATGGCGAGATGGGTTTGGTCTAGACTGGCTAGCGGTTAGAAGGTATGAGTAGCACGGTGTACTCGCTCTTGACCTGGTGCTGACGATTGGCGAAGAGTCTGAGTCTAGGTGTGTCCAGTAGAACCAACGTGGTCAGCAGAAATGTTGAAGACCTACGGTAGTATTTATGTTGAGGGGTTATTTATCGCTGCGACAGATTTCTGTTCGTAAGAGTCAATTTTTTTTCATATTTGGCAGAATAACTGCAAGTACAAAAGTATAATTGTGGATAAAAGAAATCCTGATTTCATCGTAGGAGGTTATTAATCACTGGGCAGTTAGAGTTTGAAAAACTGATGATTGTTGCCACAATCAGTAACGGCCATAGACTACAGATCAATAATAAATCTCTCTCTATAAAATTGCGAATGGCAAGTGTTGCCTACGTGTTTGATAGCTGGATCGAAAAGAAAGAAACCAAGAGTGTCGACCTGCATTCACGCTAATGATATTGGTTCAAAACACTGTCAGTGCGGCGACGGAAGCAACAAGACAAGCACTACTGCGCAAACTTACGATTTGTACAAATAGTTGCATTGCCAGATCGTTAATTAAACTATACAGGTTGGAAATCGTCGAGCGTTGGAATAGCCTATATTTGCACCGTGATTATCTTTTAGACAAGAACCACGAGGAAACAGTATTTCATGTAATTAATAATCATATAAGCCAATCGACCGACTGAGTTTGTTAAGACAGCTGTTTCGATTGTACCAGTCGCAATTCGTGACTGCTATTTTCCTACATGGTAGTCTTGAAAAATCGTTATGAATTAGATTCTACAATGTTGATGAGTGAACACTGCATGACGGGTTACGTAGTCTAGCAGTTGTGACGCAAGAATGGCCGATTACCTATGACTAAGCTTAGTGTTTAGGGCTCCTCAGTTTATTTTGAGTAAAATGCACAAATTATGGCATCAGATTTGAATAATTACAGTGGTTCGGACGCATGCATTAATGTCACGGCTAAATAGTATCGGTGCTATATATACCGACTGTCATGACGAACTTTTGTTTGGGTAACCTTAGTTTAATAGCTGTGTGCGCAAACACAAATATATTTGGAGATTATGGTGGGGACTTCGGAAAGTTTGAGAGGCTTTTTAGTTATTTGCAGAACCTTTATCTCATGTAAACAAAAAAAAACAAATGTGGCACGGTATACAAGTATTAGGAAATTCAAGTTATGGTGTATCGTGTAAGACAACAGTAAGTGTCCATCAGATGGTAACCATTTGCCAAAACTGCAGTCGCCTATGTGACTGAATTTTAAAAGGTGCAGACCATCTCGTAAAAGGCTCATGCAAAATTGTGATAATTAGAAGTATTTGAATTATTATGCTAGTCAGTGATTTCGGAATTAGTGTTATTTAAGCCATGTAAAACCAGATAGAACTAGATGAACATGGACGAACGCATTATATCCATAATTCGTAATCAGTGTTCAGTCAAACACAAAGGAATCATCAACTAGTATAAATACTACAATCGCCAAACTAAAATGCAAATCCGATTCAAAAACGAGGTATTTTTCATTTAATTATTGGGTTAACAAAGCCCTGTTGACTGAAGTTGTATAGATCCAAGAATAATGTAGGTCAGATACGTAGCATCGCCTGAACGAACAATCTAAATGAAATATAGGATTGCTGGAAATTTTTAGTCCAAACTCCCTATGAATTTCTGGTATTCGTATTTTCTTTCCGACCATGGAACTTAAGAAACAGGCTAGCAGTGCTAATGTAAGAGCAACATTCTCGGAACAGTTTGTTACGGAAAATAGTATATAAAATGAGACTATAAGATGAATTTAAAATCTACAGTTGATCTTGTCTTGCTCATTTAAGTGAATAAGTTACAGAAAGATGTGCGTTCGTGTTGCTTTGTGATTTTGTTTACGAGTGGCCGATATTGTAACCGACGTATTACGCAGGAGCGATTCAGTATTGATAAGACTTCTTGAAGAACCATGATTATAACTGTAGTTGACTAGTATTTTATTAATTGACTGAACTAAATAGTTAAGTTTGAGTATGAGCCGTTATTGATGTAAACCAGCCAGTAATCACAGTAACCAACAAGCTTAAGCAGCAAGAGAAAGGGAGAATAATAAGTATAGAATGTAATCACAAGGACAATCATGGGTTGCGTTATCCAAAGACTTACTTGCCAGTGTCAATCACCAATGTGAATCATCTGTGTCAAATAACTGCTGGCCTACGAGAGTTAAACGGGGATGGTGCGACCTGTAAGCTAATGTCAAAGTCACACCTCACGGTTAGTACTAAATGCAGATTAATCTTTCGTTGTATCCAAATACTGTGGCACCATTGGTTGCCACTAAATTGCTAGGTTACTTACGCATGTCACTTCTCGTGACGGAGCATGTGCCGATCATAAAAATTCGCCATCCGACCCTATCCCGAGCAATCCTTTCCAGCTCCTTCCAGTTGTTATTCATCCCTTTCATATCTGCTTCTATTTCCCGAAGTAATGTGCTTCCCAGGTATATGAAGGATTCTACATCTTCCAGACTTTCGCCATCAAGAGTGATTGGATTGCTATTCTCCGAATTGAATTTGAGGACCTTGGTTTCCCCCTTGTGTATGTTGAGGCCTACTGATACAGAGACTGCTGCTACACTGGCTGTCTTTATCTGCATCTGTTTGTGAGTATGCGATAGGAGGGTTAGATCATCTGCGAAGTCCAAATCGTCTAATTGATTCTGAGCTGTCCATTGTGTTCCGTGTTTTCCTTCAGATGTCGAGGTTCTCATAATCCAGTTGACCACCAGAAGAAAGAGGAAGAGCGAGAGTAGACAGCCTTGTCTGACTCCGTTCCTTACTTGAAATGCGTCTGTCAGCTGTCCTCTATGCACGACCTTGCACTGTAGTCCGTCGTGTGAGTTCCAGATAACGTTGTCAATCTTCTCAGAAACTCCATAGTGTCGAAGAAGTTTCCATAACATTCCCCTATCTACACTGTCAAACGCCTCATAGTCAATGAAGTTGATGTATTGTGACGAGTTCCACTCAACTGATTGTTCGACGATGGCCTATGGTGTCGCAATTCGGTCTATGAACGACCGATCCTTACGAAATCCAGCTTGTCGATCTCGAAGTTGGACGTCTACTGCATCTTTCATCTCGTTCGGCAACACTGCGTTAAAGACCTTCCCTCGTATTGACAGTAGTGTAATGCCTCTGTAGTTTTCACATTTGCTGAGATCTCCTTTCTTTTAAATGTTGATGAGGTGTCCTTCTTTCCAGTTCATCAGCACTTGTTCCTCCTTCCAAATCTTTTTGAATAGAAGGTGAAACATGTTTGTAGTTACTTCGATGTCTGACTTCAGTGCTTCGGCTGGTATATAGTCAGGTTCCGCTGCTTTCCCTATCTTGATTCGTCTGATGACCATTCTGATTTCTTCCGTCAATGG